GGGAGGGGTGTACTGTTATATGTAGGTTCTCTGTTTCCCCCTCCTTAGTGTTTTTGGTTCAGTCCTGTTTTCCCGCTCCTCGTCATTCTTCAGTTGTTGCACCTGTGTCCTGATCATTTACATTTATTCATTTAGCTGACGCTTTTATCCTGAGTTTTATCCAAAGCGACTTACAATTGCTATATTTCAGAGGTCGCACGCCTCTGGAGCAATTAGGGGTTAAGTGTCTTGCTCAGGGACACATTGGTGTCTCACAGTGGATTCGAACCCGGGTCTCTCACACCAAAGGCATGTGTCTTATCCACTTTATTGTCAGATTAATGTGCAATAAACCCAGACTCTGCCTATCTCTAACTTTACAGAATAGACTGGGCTGATGTGTAAAACTATAGGCTACTCAGCGCCAAATGACCATAATACTATATAAAATATAACTCAGGGCTCGACATAAAGCCTCTTCGTGTGCTTGTCCTTCGAACAAGTAAATCGGTCACTTGTCCAAGTAAAAAAATTACTTGTCCAGAAAAAAATGCAATAATAAAGCAATAGTCTCATCAGTGTTCAGTCAACTTTGACATTTAAATCTGCATATTTATGATATTTTAACCTTTATAGAGAGCATTTTTCCTTAATCGTTTTAAATATATGCTTCATCTTTCATTTTAAATTCTTAAATTTTATCAATAAATTAATTTAAAATAATAAGACACTGGCTGCTACCAATCAAATTAAATAATTTACAGTGAAAAATTACAATGGCATTAAATAATGTTATGAGATTGTTTTGAATGTTTTTTGAATATACAAATATGAAATATTGGAAAGAACAGCCAATATTCCCAAGGCGTCTTTTGCCAAAGCGTCTATATCCAACGCACATGGCACCCTTAGCGTCAATATGAGAGGCAGATATATGGCGCCTCATAGTGGTCTAACCCTAACACTACCCCAGACCTAAACCTACCCATAACCAAAGCGTGTTATATTGACGCTAAAGGGTGCCATGTGCGTCGGATGTAGACGCTTTGGCAAAGGCGTCAGTATATGACGCCTTGGGATGAGAATGCGTTGGAAAGAATGATACTTTTAAACACAAAACTAAACCACCAATAGGTGGCGGCAGATCGCCGTCTTACTGAGTGAGTTGTTGAGCCATTTATTCAAACAATTCTTTCAAAACGCTGAATTGTTCAAGAATGAGGCAGTTGTTTAATGGGTCATTGAATCTTTGACTCAACCAATTCATTCAAAACGCTGAATCATGTTTCAGTAATGCGGTTATGTGTTCTGGTGAGATGTGCTGTGGTTCTGCTGTGATCTTTCTTTGGAACTATTTTCGCAGCTCAAATACAACAAAAAACAGTCAATATTCATAGCTGCCAACTCTCACGCATTGGCCGTGAGACACCCGCATTTGATTGGTTTCACACGCTCACACGCCACACTCCCGATTTCTCACGCTGAAGTGTCAACCCGGGCGGTCAAATGCCTGGAAGATGAGTTTATCTATATATCTACCTGTTGAGCCACTCGTGATCGACTAGTTATACCGCAAATTCGTTAAAAATCTCCCGTTATCTAGAGCGAGCGTGCATGCGAGACAGAGATTGTGCTCCAAACCGCGTAGAGCGAGCGAGAGAAATCTCACTCGTCTCTACCCCCCCCGTCAACAAATCTCACGCCGAGCAAAACTCAAAAGTTGGCAGGTATGAATATTGTGTCTAAAATGTAAGTGACTTAATATTAATTTGTTTATTAAACTGTCATATGAAATCAGTGGTACATTTTCAATCGTGATGGTATTGCACTCGTGGTTGTGTGATGTTGCTTAACTGTATCATTACTACGGTGGCCGAGAGGTGCAAAACAAGATCACAATTATAAAAACAAATTAACAATTCAGAAAACACAACGACAATTCAGAAAACAAAATAACAATTCAGAAAACACAATAACAATTCAGAAAACCCATTGACAATTCAAAAAACAAAATAACAATTCAGAAAACACAATAACAATTCAGAAAACCCAACAACATTTCAAAGAAAACGGAAAAGGTAGGTACATTTTGAGAATGGCAAACTTGTCGCTGATTGGATGAGACACCTGTCAATCAAGCTTTACAGGAACTAAGAAATTTGTGATCAACTTTGTTTTGTGTTTTCTGAATTGTTATTGTGTTTTCTGAATTGTTATTTTGTTTTTATAATTGTGATTTGTTTTGCACCTCTCGGCCACCGTACTAATCATATGTTATAAATATAAGAACTCCACATGAATTTTTACCGCTGTGTATGTTCATTAAGTTTCTTTGTGTGATCTGGGCTCATTTGTTTCCATTTCTCATGAGGCATGAGCCTCAACAGCGCAACCGTGTTACCAGACAGAGACAGACAGAGGCGCCCGCGCCATCAGAGTACTTGGACGTGACTGTGATTACAAAAGGTAAAAACGATATAAATACTGTTCGTTTTCTCACACAAACCGCTCGTTTCGTGTCTTGAGCCATCAATGTTTACTTACATTTACGAGTCATTAAATCATGTTTAATTTGGACTTCTCTGTGTATGCTCTTTGAGGTGGTGACCATAGACCTGCATTATATGACTGACGGACAAGAACGGTTTGACGTAAAAATAACAAAATTGAAAATACTGCAGAAACAAAGACACCTACATCTTGGATGCCCTTGAGGTAAGCTAAAACATACCAAAAATTAATTTCAAAGTGAACTATCCCTTTAAGACACAGTCTTAACGTAATGGCTTTGTTTATGCAACTGGCCCCATATGCTGATTTTATGCTGATAAACTCATCATGATATTTTGATACCATTAAGAGTGAAGGAGTACAACTAATAATTATTATTACTTTTACTGTAGAAAGGGGCCACACAATCTATTAACTATGATTGCTTGTTTGGAAGTGAAAATGAATAAAGCGTTATTTCTAATGGGTAAATAATAATCAACTGTACCGATTTTCTTTTCTACATTTATTTTATTAGTATTTGCAGAATACAGAGGAAAAAGAGTTACTATTCCCACGCTAATTAATTAATAGAGGTTGAGTTTCTTTTATGGTTTTCAGTTTCTTTTAAATCTAACTATTTGTCAGTTTTAAAAGAAAAAAGTTTTGACAAATCAATAGTTATCTTGAAAATGAAAACAATATGCACAGGATGATTCTATTTATATTTTCATCAAATTTATAATGAGAATGAAATATGCATACTTCACATATCAAATAGACTTACATATATCTCAAACCCCCTTCTAATACAGTACTCTAGAAAGTTTACCATTAATGTCAATTTTACATACATATTTGTGGATTTTATTCTAAAATGCATTTACATCAATAAACCAGAGCTAAATTTAGCAAAGAAAACATTTAATCCTTCAAGAATGTAATTTGTTCCGTTTAACTTATTTAGTTATTGTCTTTTAATTAAAATGAATTCACAATCAATTCCAATAAATATAATATTTAACATGTCCTTACTTGACTTTTAAATAATGCATATTATTACTACTACTACTACAACCTCCCATTTCCCCTTCAAAATATAGTTCAGACTTTAACTTGATATTCTCTGAATCAGTTTTAAAGTTTACTTTAAAAAAAGCACATTAATAATTACAGTCTATCACATTCATTATTTGAATTGTCCGTATGGTTGATCTCCTGATGAAAAACCTCTTCACCTTCCCCTTTTTTCCAGTTTATTTTGCTGTCACTTCCCAGCCCCCTGATCTTCAGCTTTTCACGGATCTGGAAGACCAGCAAGAAAGAATAAAAATAAAACATCAACAGCAGCAACAATATTAATGCTATGAAAGATGGTTGGTTGGTTTGTAAGCCCGTTGAAATCGGCCCAATGGAGGTTTTCCGAAAGAACGGTTGAAGGTCTCTGCGTGTTACTCTCTTTCCGCGTGTATTTGATTAAATTAAATACATTTTTCATATTATCTCGTTATTTCATCTGACTCCATAAATGAAAAGGTTTTAATGATATCTGTGCATCATTAAATGTGAGCGACTGTTTGACTATTCTTTTTAACTCTTTACTGAAAATAATGTCAGAGTCAGTTGTTAACAAATGTTAACAATTTATGATGTCAGGTAAATATATCATGCCAATTTCATAATCAGTTCAAAGACAATAGATTCAAAACATCAAATGCTCTGGAATAAAGAGAGAAGATGCAAACCTTGACATTTATAAAAATACATGATGGAAAGTGTTTTGCATACAATCCGCATCACAAGCTAATTTGAGTTAGAAATCGCCCTGCGCCTCTTGTTGCAATTCATTATATACCCAGACCAAGACAGAAACTTCTTTCACATGGAAACACTTGCTAACAATGGGAATTTGCATTCAGAGGTTATACACCTTTTGAGAGCAGGAGGCCATTTGCCTGGAAGACACACCCTCCTGTGTGCAAGATATTTCTAAACACTTAAGACCTTTATTACCTTTTGGTTTACTTCTTTGGGAATGAGGGGAAGAGGAAAAAAGAGCTGTATTCTGAAGTGAGACTTGCATCTCAAATGGTGATGCTAACTTCAAGAGAGAGAGTTCAAATGTTAATTTCCAGAAAGGTCCGTTGTCTTCTCAGGGAGTGGTCGTTCCTCAACCAGACTGCCCAACATTTTCTAATTTCTCAAGTCTTACAGTTGGCTGTAATATATTCTTAAAACGTTTCAAACAGTAAATAGAAATTGTGTTTTTGAACCATATGACCATGAAGATGAACACAGTGTTTAGGCCAGATACAAACCTCATTCAGAATGGCAGTCTGTAGTGAAGGATCATTCAATCTGCATTCTCCATTACAGGACAATTTCAGTCTGATAATCTGCTTTTTAATTAATGTGTCATCTGAGAAATACAGTGTTAAAGTCATCCTCAACATAGAACATACATCAATAAATGAAAACATCCTCATCCTCTTATTTGTATCATTTGATTCTGTTAACATGGAAAAACTCACTTCCATGGCAGATAAAAGGATGCTTTAGATCACAGCTGTATTGAGCCCATTTCCCAGAATCAGTTGTTGACATGCCGACACAGTCACCAGATCCTGAACTCTGGGATGGTTGTCCTGCTGCCCAGTTTCTAAAACTGATATTCCACCGATCAGACCATTCCCAAGTGTCCAGGAACAGACCAATCCAGAGCGATGATTCATTATTACTGATCAGATTCTGCTGCTCTGCGCTGCTGATACTCGCCAAATCAGTGTGTTGTTTTCTGCAGTAACTCTGAGCATCTCTCCATGTCATAGCAGTCTCAGTGATGATGAAACCAGTGCTGTCTGTTCAGAAACACCAGATAAAGACCAGCCCTTAGTCCAGGATCAGCTAAAGTTTGGGGAAAAATTAACCAGATTTGAGGACTCACCATTGAAACACACAAATGGGAGAACGGAGCTGCAGCTCTCATCGTACCAGCGTCCCTTAAAACTCCTCACACACCCCCCATCACCATTTGGTTCTCCTTGATTCCAGTTAATGTACTTGGACAGTGGGCCCATAGACCAGATCCAGTGATACTCTGCTCCATTGTGGAGACCTATCCATACTGAACCACTGTATCCAGCATCCACTGTATTTACCAGCAAACTCACGTCGCTCATGTTGTCAGCAGTGGCCAGATCAGTGAATCTCGCTCTGCAGTAACTCTGAGCATCTTGCCATGTCTTGCTTTCATTCATATAGTGGAAGGAGCGGTAAGGAGACTTGGGCCCTTTAGCAAATGGAAATGAGGAACATGACTGTAAAAAATCAGGTATTTTTGTTTTTAATTTAGTGAGTGTAGTTTATAGCATTGGTTCCCAACAGGGGGGTCGTGTCATTTTTTGAAAGGTTTGAGCAATGAGCATTAAATAAAAGTTCTTAACTTTTTTTCTGTTCAAAATTTACAAAATGTATATAATGAGCGAGTTCATCATGAATCCATTTTCCAATCCGTGTTTTTGTCTTATCCTGAACCACTATGGTACACCTATAATAAGTGTTTAGATTGGGACTATTTTACACTGGTTCGGATTGCTGCCGCTGCGGAGTAGCCCAGTACCTGCGTGACTCGTCATAGACGTACACAGAGAGATGTAGTTAAGCGTCTATATCCAACGCACATGGCACCCTTTAGCGTCAATATGAGATGCAGATATATGGCGCCTCCTAGTGGTCTAACCCTAACACTACCCCAGAACTAAACCTACCCATAACCGAAGCATGTTATATTGACGCTAAAGGGTGCCATGTGCGTCGGATGTAGACGCTTTGGCAAAAGCGGCAGTATATGACGCCTTGGGATGAGAATGCGTTGGAAAGACGCATTATTCTGTTAATAAATGCAAGTTTCTTATCGCTCGCCAAAAGCGTAAAAAATAAAGCCTCACATTGATAAAGCCTCACAAATAACATGCAAGTACTGAGCCCCCAGACAACAGTCATTTAGTAATAGCCTATATTCTTTTTTTTTTTTTTTTTACCTACACACCATTGTGAATATTTTTGTTTTTGCATTTCAAATAGGGCCAATTTTTAGGCTTCTCCTAGGCTTATGTTTTTAAATTACAAAAGGTCTACTGATGTTTTTGTTATTGTAGCCTATTTTCAATATCATAGGCTATTATTTGTGCATAAACATACTGTTTGTTTGAAAAAAACCATATTTTGTCATCCTTGCTGCAAGCTTACAAGAGCGATAATATCATTAAATGTGAAGGGGGGCCCTAAAATATTTTCTTGGGAAAAAGGGGGTCTCAGACAAAAAAAGGTTGGGAACCACTGGTTTATAGGTTATCTTTGGATACTGAAGATTTTTTTCTTCCTTTTTTTTCTTTCCTTTGATTGCAGCCTATTTTGCTGCTTCTTTCCCCCATCTTGGTTTTCTTTATTCTTGGTTGGAAATAATTACTGTGAGTTGGTGTAGTTTTTCCCCACTGCAATAATTTTGTATTAATATTGAAAATAAAATAAAACGTATGTGCCTTTAGCACTTGGTTTCAGTTGCTAACTTTGAAGTCACACAGAAGTCAGACCCGACAGTTCATTTTATTCCCTATACACCTTTATAATAATCCAGCCCGTTCTCATCCCAAGGTCATATACTAACGCACATGGCACCCTTTAGCGTCAATATGTCACGGGATGGTCCAAAAGTGAGGCGAGGACTCAAGTGCAAGAAGGATAATTTATTAAACAAACAAACAAACAAACACAAGCTATAAACAAAACTCCCTCAAGGGGGAAAAACAGGACAGGCATCAGCAGGTACATTACACAATGTAAAACAATGACAACGAACAAGCACAGGACTGCAAACACAGGGAGATTAAATAGGGGAACAAACATAAGGTGGTAACGAGGCAGGCAGGTGGGGAAAATAAAACAATAACGAGATAACAAGATGGGCGGGGTTTGACAATTGACAGGAGAGCACATGGCACAAGGAAATAACGTGACAGCCATGTGCTCACAACAGACCAGACTAAACACAAACACATGACAAACCGGGAGTGTCACAGCTCTGTCACTAAACCAAGAGAAAACCCAGACAAGGGTGACAGAACTGTGACACTACCCCCCCTCAAAGGGACGCCACCTGGCGTTCCCAAGGAGGGACACCAAAAACAAGACAGGAACATCCAACGTGCAAGACCAAGCAGCAGACAAGACAAGCAGATAAGAACACATGCACAGAGAGGGGAGGGAAGGGAGCCAGGGAGTCAGAACACGCCTAGCGGCCAGAAAGTCCTTGGTGACCAGGGAGGGACAGGTGGGTCAGGATTCCTGGCTGAGAACCAGGGTAGTGTAGACCGTGCAGCACACCAGGGCGGACCAGGCTGAGCAGGGGTCCAGGGCGCAGCAGGCCAATAATCAGGTGGCAAGGGCGGATCAGACAGTCCATCGGGTGGCCAGGGCGGATCAGACAGTCCATCGAGTGGCCAGGGCGGAGCGGGCTGTGCAGGCCCTTCGGGTGGCCATGGTGGAGACGACCACTCGGGCGGCCACGGCGGAGACCACCCTTCAGGCGGCCATGGTGGAGACGACCAGGGTGGCGCAGGCGACCGGGACGGGACAGGCCCTTCAGGCGGCCATGGCGACAAGGGCGGAGATGATCCCTCGGACGGCCCTGGCACAGAAACAGACAACAGCTCAGGAATAGAAACAGACACCGGCTCAAGAATAGCCACCGGCTCAGGGACAGAAATAGACACCGGCTCAGGAACAGAAACAGACACCGGCTCGGTGGCAGCCATCTTGTCCGGAGACACCGGATCGGCCGACGCGACGTGAACAGTCTCCGGATCGGCAGACGTGACGCGAACACTCTCTGGATCGGCAGACGTGACACGAACAGTCTCTGGATCGGCAGACGTGACGTGCTTGGCTGGCGCCGGCAAGGTAAGACGTCTGGGTGGTGCCGGAAGGGCGAGACGCTGGGGCGGCGCCGGAAGGGCGAGGCGCTGGGGCGGCGCCGTGACGCGAACACTCTCTGGATCGGCAGACGTGACACGAACAGTCTCTGGATCGGCAGACGTGACGTGCTTGGCTGGCGCCAGCAAGGCAAGACGTCTGGGTGTGCCGGAAGGGCGAGACGCTGGGGCGGCGCCGGAAGGGCGAGGCGCTGGGGCGGCGCCAGAAAGCCCTGTGGGATCGCAGACGCTTTCCTCCTCCTCCGTTTACGAGGTCGCGGCCGTGCTGCAGCCTCTTTGGCCACCACCAGACTTGAGACCCCCGAAGTCTGGTCCTCTGGAACGATAGCGGGTTTCTCGGGGACGGCCTCATGGACCACAGCGGGCTGCTCCGAGACGGCAGTGGGCTGCTCGTTGACGGCCTCCGAGACAGTTGGTGCCTGCTTCCTCCTCCTTCGGCGTGTCTGATGGCGAGGTGGTGGAACCAAGCTTCCCGTCTCTGGGGCCGCTGCAGGTTCTCCGGGGTCCACCGGGGGCGCTGCAGCTTCTTCGGGACCCCCTAGAGATGCTGTCAACCTTTCGGAACCCCCAGAGAGCACTGCAGCCTGTCCAACTGGAGGACTCCTTTGTCGGTCCAGAAAGGCAACAAACCTCCAGAATGTCAATTGCTCCAGCCCTGCCATAGACCAAGCATCTACAGGCTCCTCAAGGGCGTAGTTGAATAGGTCCTTAAGGGCCATCTCACCCAGCCCCAGCCCCTCTGCAGCGGAGCTGAACTCCAGGGCAAAGTCTTTCACGTTTGTTCCCTTCTGACGAAGGGAACTCAAAGCAGTGAACTTTACGATGCGTTCGTAGTGTGGGCAGGAAATAGGAGGGACTGGTGGCTGGTGCGAATCCTTCCGCTGAATCCTCATTGTGGCTTGTTCGTTCTGTCACGGGATGGTCCAAAAGTGAGGCGAGGACTCAAGTGCAAGAAGGATAATTTATTAAACAAACAAACAAACACAAGCTATAAACAAAACTCCCTCAAGGGGGAAAAACAGGACAGGCATCAGCAGGTACATTACACAATGTAAAACAATGACAACAAACAAGCACAGGACTGCAAACACAGGGAGATTAAATAGGGGAACAAACATAAGGTGGTAACGAGGCAGGCAGGTGGGGAAAATAAAACAATAACGAGATAACAAGATGGGCGGGGTTTGACAATTGACAGGAGAGCACATGGCACAAGGAAATAACGTGACAGCCATGTGCTCACAACAGACCAGACTAAACACAAACACATGACAAACCGGGAGTGTCACAGCTCTGTCACTAAACCAAGAGAAAACCCAGACAAGGGTGACAGAACTGTGACACAATATGAGACGCAGATATATATGGGCCAGAAGGCGCCTCCTAGTGGTCTAAACCTAACACTGCCCCAGACCTAAACCTACCCATAACCGAAGCGTGTTATATTGACGCTAAAGGGTGCCATGTGCGTTGGATGTAGACGCTTTGGCAAAAGCGTCAGTATGACGCCTTGGGATGAGAATGCGTTGAATAATCAGGGGACGTAACAGTGGTAAATGTATAAAATAATTTAGTGATTATACTAACACATACTATTATTTCTGATGCAGAAATTCAAGTTATATGATTTTTATATTATATTAATTATTTAATATAAAAAAGAATATGACACAGAAATGCAATAAACCATCTTCGATAAAAAAAACCCCACTAGCTGTACTTTAACTGTATACATGCATAAGTGAGCGAGTTTACATCCACAATCTTATAGAATTATAATTAATAACCCAAGGGCATCCAAACTGTTATAAATATTATTTTTTTTGGGGTAAAGCTCATGGACTGTTTAATGCCACTTATGCAATGACCATTATGCCACTTTTTCTTGTTTTCTTTAAAGTTTTTTTTAGGTGTACTAGAACAGGTTTTCATTATGAAGTGTTCATGGAAGAAAACTCAGAAGGTGTTTCAGGGAGTTTAGAAACAGTGCTTACTGATTTTTCAAGCGCAAATAGCAACATTTACACACTAAAGAATGTTGAAAATGTAAAAAAAAACATAATAGGACCCCTTTAAGCAAAACCTTACAGATGTTTGCCCAGGGCCATTACCCAAACTCTACTGCATGGAAACAACATACCAGAAAAATCCATACAAATACAGTTTCTTGCATTGTCAGGTTGAACAATTTTTGATCTAATGTGATCTGATTTGTCCAAAAAATAAAAAAATAAAAAAACTCACCTCCATGGCAGATAAAATGATGCTTTAGAACACAGCTGTATTGAGCCCATTTCCC